CAAAACAAGAAGTGAATCATATTTGCGGGAGAAAAACTTTTCAAGCGGTGTCTTATGAAGCGGTGAGATATATGTCTTTCTTTTGATCGATTATTCTTACAATTTGAAAAATAACATAATTTCATTTGTTTTGACAGAGGAATACAACCACTGGAAAAGAGCCAAATTTTCAAAAACTTTGGGAAATAACTCACATGAAGCCAAATGGGCAATGGGTTACTAGTGCTTCTGCTGAAGTCAATGTACTTTGTCTTTAACCTTTATTAATAGAGTGAGTTTATTTAAATTATATGAAGAATTAATGTTTGTATAACCTTTTTTGTAGGACAAAGTGAAAGACGTTATTGCTGAAAAAATTCAAGATATTGACGAGGGTACCGATGTGGATCCTATTATTAATGCTGCATTTGTGCAAATAATGGGAGAAAAATCAAAGTACATTCTTGGTAAAGGATCTGGGATTAATTCAGCAAGTAGAATATCTAGAAATGAAATTCAAGAACAACTTCGAGCACAACAAAAGGAAGCAGAAGAAGAACGCTATAAACGAGAGAGTGTAGACATCAAACTAATGGAAGTTAAGAATCAACTTGAAGAGGAGCGAAAGAACCGAGAAGTAATGGAATTTCGTTTAGTGCATGACCAAAAATTGTTAAAAGAGAGCATGATGGTGCTAGTATCTCATTTGAAGAATCCCAAGGTATTTATTTATAGTATACATCACTAAATTAGTAGATGTTTCATCGCTACATAATTTTTTTAACTCTCACTATACATATTCACCTCTTCCTCATTCTATTCTTCTTTTATCGACATACTAAGTTATTCATTTGTACCATATTTAACAGAATGACCTTCCTGCTTCAATTTTCAATATCTTTACAACTTCAACTACTTCTAATGAGACAAGTTCTGCATGTCTAATGAATAACAATTGGGTATGTAATTTTTATTTAAATTATTTATCTTTTTAGTAAATGTAACTATTAGGAGTATTTAGTAGGTATTAGTACAACTTTTGTTTGGGCTAGTAATACATCTCCTTATGTTAGTTATATCTCTATGCATATCCATCAATCATTTTAATTAAATCAAACAAATACAATTTTGATATATATTTACTTAAAGCTTATAATCTTTATGTTGGTGAGCAATTTCAGGAAGATTTACATGTAAAGAAAAATCAAGAATCACGGATGCAGAAAGTGTTGGATAACTTGAAAGACGTCTTGAATTTTGAGAAGCAAAACTTAGAAATGGCTATTTATGATTGTGATAAATTCAATACATTGTGCAATGAAAAAGATGTAGAGCTTAAGGTATTATTTAAATGTGATAAAATTTGATTTATCAAGGGGACAATCATTCATTTTATTGCTCCATTCTTTAATTTATAGGATGCCCTAACAGAGAAGCGAAACTTAGAAATGCGGCTTCCAAAGTTGAGTTCTCAAGGTTCAAAGAAAACTACTCCGAAAGAATTGATCGACGCAAATAATCAGGTAATGCTAAAAACTATTATTTAGCCTTTATATTTTGTCCAGAATAGTATTCATAAAATACAAACTCATGTGACTTCACTAATTAAAGGTCTTTGATAAGATCCATGAAGAGTTGAAAGCTCGTTGTATGTTGCGTACCGCAGAAGAAACAAAAAAGAGGCTTTTGAGTGAAAAATCATCACTTGAGGAAAAAATTGTAGAGATTGAAAAGAAGAAATCAAGTGAGATATGTTTCCTAAATATCTCTTGTTTCACTCCCAGCTCTAAGAGTTAAGTCATACTACACTACCTTCTCCCATACATAGTTTATGTTAATTACAATATTTAATACTAGAAAATTGCAATGAGTTGAAAGATTTATGAGATATTGGTAATCTTTGTAATTTGCAATTTCTTGATCTTGATAATACAAGGTTACATTGTCTGTCGTAGGAATGCACAATTTTACAAATACAAGGCTATTAAATATGTCTTCATCTTATTTGGAGTAGTATATACCAAGGAATATTAGAGAAATTCTCTAGCTTTGAAATTATAAATATGACGGATGGTTATATTCGACACTTTTGATGAGATATTGTCTGCATCTGATTTGGAGAGTAGTATGCCAACAGGATGTTGATTATGAAAAAAAGAGTTATTAAAATCCCTACACATAGAGAGTTGTTCTTGTGTTTTCACATTTAGCTATTTTCTCTTTTTGAACTCAATTAATGCTCTTGGTCAGTTTTGATAAGAAGGGAATAAGGAAGTCTTTTAGAATCTGGAAACTGTTAAAAAATTTATTACTAAAGGAGATTAAGATTAATTTTGACTTCTTTTTGTTTATATGACATTCTTGGGGTTGAAGGAAGTGAACAGATGATCCTTTGCCAAATCTAGGAAATCTCACTCTCTTCCCTTACAATTTATAGAGTTAATTTGATTTTTATGTGACATTCTTGGGGTTGAAGTTTATGATCATGTTAGGACAGATTTAGTGTTAAGAAGTATCTTATATTAGTTAGAATCGAAAAGGAGTGAAGGTGTACTTTAAACGAACTCAAACGGAGCAACCGGAGGAAAAATGGATGGGGCAGGCGCCCTGGTGCTATGGGTGGCGTAGAACACCAGAACCTTTAGGAAAGAGAAGGGTTTGGGGCGCTCTGGAAGACACGCCGCGCCAGGCCCCAACCCTAAAAATTCTGTCGAGCATTTTTGCTCGTTTTCTCACCATAAATCGCCTAAAATTGAACGGTTTTTTCACCAATCACTTGCATTTGATCACATAACTTAATTACACTCTAATCTAATAGAAAATTCACTTAAATTACTAAACTTGATCTCAATAAATCATCAAAACTCTAAAACAACAAGGTTTAGAATGATCATAAAGAACACCTTTCAAGAACTAGTCAAGAACTCTAATATTTAAACTTAAAGAATGAAATTTTTCTGAAAAATAACATGATTGGTGTGTGGGTAAGCAAAAACAACACTATGGAATCTTAAATACCTCTTATATATTAGACCCATGGTGAAAATCCGTAACTAGACTAAAGAACGTCGACGAACACCTTCATCCTTGCCTCTTTTCTCCTCTTTTCTTTTCATGCCTCTTCTTGAAATCTCAACTTTATCGCTAGGTGTATATTCGGATTATAAAATTTAACCTAAAAGGATTAGACCCCTAAAATATTACTAAAAATGAAATAAATCCTATTGGGTAAGGAAAGGACCAAAATACCGCTCAGTATTTTCGGCTAACATTACTTAACTAGATAGTCTAACTTCAAAAGGTCATATCTCACTAATCCGAAATTGAAAATTAACAAACTCGGTGACTTTGGAAAGATAATTAAAACTCGGTGACTCTGTGTGTGTGTGTGTGTGTGTGTGCGTGTGCGTGTGCGTGTGCATGTATATATATATATATATATCTATATATGTATACGGATGTATGTATGTATATGTATTACTAATATAGTTTTTTCAAAAAAAAAATTTCATTTTCTTAAAATTTTATTTATTTATGTGGTCTATAGTTATATATGGCATAAAAAGTTTTTTTTTGTATCGCACACACTGTCCAAATCCCATATTGAGCTCCGATTAAATTTGAATCGCGCACTACAGGGACCATGTAACATTTCGTAACTTGAAATAACTAAAGAATGAGCTAAGAAACCAAGAATCATCTTTTTTGGAGATATATAGGAAATTTTTTGAAGTTTGAATGTGAGTTTTTAGTCATTTTCAAATGTCCATAACTCCCAGCTCAGAGAATTTAAGGTGATTTCTTTATATGATTGGAAAGCTCTTTCCAACGGGGCCAAGTTTGCACATTTTCGATGTCGTATGAGAGAGATATGCCTTTCAGAATTTGTGTTGTTTGACTGTGGAAAGTCCAATCTAGATTATTGTAAGGATAAAGAAGTCTTTTCACCCTAGTATTTCCTAATTCATTTTAAGGGTTTAGTAGGGGTAAAATTAAGTTGTAATTCAATTTTGGAGAAGTTGAGAACGCTTATGCAAAAACTTTGAAAATTCAAGACGTGTTCTGGAGTGTAACATAAGTAAAATAAAGTTTACACATTGTTTTAAGATCTACTATAATGAATATAAGCCATTTAGGAAGTCTAAAAACCAAAATATCCAAGAATGTCCATCACGTTAGAAAACTAGTTGAAGGAGGTACAAGCGTGCCTTGACCTATTTGACTAGCTTTAAGGAGTTGAAAATGAATGAAAATTGGTGTAAGTCTGTATAAAATGGGCTTAAGTTGATTTATAGTACGACTCTCCAAGGACAAACCAAGGTCCCTTGAGGAGGACCCTTGCAAGTGGAGTCAAACACTGCTTGGGCAGTGTGCACCCACTAGAGACAGACGATGGGGCGGGTGTTGATTGAAGGGGCATCGATACCAACCTTCGACAAAGACTTAGACAATTTGTTGGAGTCCCTCACCTGCACAGTCTCTGAGCTCATTGATGGACGTGCATCACGGAATGGGGGCTGGTCCGTAGATTGAGCCACGAGGCGTCGGCGGGGTCTCGTTTGTGAGGGTCCAATTTTGCTGCACATTTTTTACTAAGTCTTAACTAATTAAATAAGGGGTTTGTTGGTTAGTTATGGATTAAGTTATGGTTAATTAACTTAATTAACCCCCCATATAAACACCCCAACCCCATTAGTATAATTCCAACTCATAAAACAAAACTCTCTTCCTTCTCTTTTCTTTCTCTCTACTAGAAGGCACCATTGAAGACCAAACGAGGGGAGGGTTTTTGGGGATGTAAGGGGAAGATATAACCATAAATTATTCATAAAAATTTGAGGTATGTGATCTAGCTTACGTTTTAGATCTCTTTCCTCAAAGGGTTCCTTCAAAGTAATTTAAAAAGCGGAGTTTGTATTTGGGTCTTTTTCAATCTCAAAAATTATGTTATGAATTGAATTGTTTAGGATTTATTTTGAATATTATGAGTATATTAACATGTATTCTAACTTAATTATGATATATCATTAAGATTTGGTCTATTTTGTAGAAGATGACCATTAACCCTTAACCCTAGGTTTGAGCTTGATGTGAATTAGGTTGTATTTGGTTCAATTAACTTGTTTATTGGTTGAATTACTATTAGATGATTTTGCTACACTAATCAGGAATAATATACGGATTATTTGCAGTCTTTCATACTAGTTCTTGAGAAGATGATCTAGGTTATAAAATGAATTGACCTAAGTATATTGTCTTAAGCTATAATCTAGTATTGAATTGTGATGTAGTGATTCTTTTAGCCATGTTATCATGTTGATTATTGACTTATGATGATGTATACCAAAATTGGGTTGAATTGAGGGTTTATGGTAAGACCTTGATTATGAACTATTAAGGAGACTTGGTAAGTCTTATGATCTCTATCCATTACTTCAAATTGTGGTTAATTATGATTAAGTCATGATGTTGTATTGGAGTATGCCTTGTATTAAGATTGATAGGATGGTATGATGTTGAATTGAAATGTCTTGACTATGATTTGTGAGGTGTAGTCTTAAGTTGTAAATTTTATAAGAATGGTGAATGATTTACCAATGTGCGTTATCATGGTATGACAATGTAAATGTGCTAAACTCACCTATATGAATTGTAAAGAAAGGGTTTATAATTATGCCATTCTTATTGATATATTGATGATGATTATATACAAGGGGTAGAACCTATGACCCAAACTAAGTTATGATTGACAATAAAGGCTTAAAGACATTTCAAAAAGGGACTCTAGCTTAGTACCGGCTGAACTAGAGTGAGTAGTGTCCCTTCGTACATAGGTAAGGTAGGAACACTAGTGTATTCTTAAGATTAGAGACTAGAATATGTGTAGCATAAAGAGGGTCCCAACTATATCTCCTAGTTTTGAACTATGTTTCCCCCATAGGAATACTAACTAGTCAACCCACGTAGTTGCTATGTTTCATGTTTTGGTACTACCTTGGTGAGTAGTCCACCTTCTTTCGGTGTAGGGTTTTATGACCTCGGATTTTACATTAGCTAAAATGGTCTATGTCACTTAGGGCAAGATGTTCCCAAAAGGTAAAATGAACTAAAGAAATGAACTGTAACTAGGATAACTTAAGAGGTCTAGCTTAGTCTAGGTAGGGGTATGAGACTCTACCTAAGCATCACAGTAGTTAGCCTTGAGGGGAGTATTAGGAGGATGTTCTTATGTATGAATATGCTTATGATGCTTATGATATGTATATTAGAAACCTGCACATTGTTGATACTATATGATGATTAGTTTCACTTATGTATATGTGTTGGTCTATATGGTTAAAGTAAGATGATATGTACTTATAAATGCTATTTTATGTGAAGCTGGATGGTAGTCATGATTCGTGTTGGGTTACTTGATTAAGGTTATGGGGATTTACTTTGACATTGCACTTGTTGACTTGATAGGGTTCATGGGTAATTGACTTGCTTTGATTATGTTGAAATGTACTCTTATTCATGCTTGTTGTTAATATGACGTGGTGCTAGAGTTACTTGATTATGTATTTGATTATATGATAAGCATGTTGACTTGACTAGTTTTGATGTTGTTTGTCTTGGGCCGTACAAACCTATGACTTAATGAACATGCATTACTGATTAGTATGGTCTTATTTAATATGCATAATTGTTTTCAAAGTAAATTGAATATCTTTATAAAATGCCCCTTTTTCCTAGCATGTTTTCAAAGTATGTGTGCATATGGTTTCATACTTAGTACAAGTGGCGTACTAACCTCATTTGTTCCTTTCCCCAAACATTTTAGGTTCCGATCATTCAAGTGGTTTAAAGATGACTTGAAGAAGGCTTGAATATCTTGTTCATTCAAGTAGGGTACCTTGATAGGCATTCATGGGTAATTAACTTTCTTTTGTTATATTTAAATGTACTCTTATTCATGCTTGTTGTTAATATGACTTGATGATAGAGTTACTTGAATATGTATTTGATTATATGATAAGCATGTTGACTTGACTAGTTTTGATGTTGTTGGTCTTGTGATGTACATACTATGATTTAATGAACATTCATTATTGCTTGGTATTGTCTTTTTAAATATGCATATGTATTTTCAAAGTAAATTGCATATCTTTATGAAATATCCCTTCTTCTTAGAAAAGTTTGTATGCCTATGGTCTCATACTTAGTACAAGTGGCGTCCTAACCTCATTTCTTCCTTTTCCCGAACATTTTAGGTTCCGGTCAATGAAGTGCTTTGAAGAGGACTTGAAGAAGGCTTGGATCTCTTATTCATCCAAGTGGGGTAGGTCCTCAATTTCAGAGTGCGATGCCACTATCTAAATTATGGAGTTGCTTTTAGTTAAAGACTTCTATGGTTCTTTCTTTCCATTTAGTATGAAACATTGTATAGCCCATGTATGAGATTTTTACTTTATTTATGAGTTATGCCTAAGTTCATACATTCTTATTAGATGGTTATGAGATGAGATGACTATTTTGACTATTATGTCTATGTTATATTTTAGATACTTACATGCAATAAAAGTAGAAGACTAAGTAATCTTCCTATATGAAGGGTATATGCATACTAAATATATATATATATATATATGTGTGTGTGTGTGTGTGTGTGTGTGTGTGTGTGTGTGTGTGTGTGTGTGTGTGTGTGTGTGTGTG